TTTTCCTGCTTGGTCCAAAAGTAGACTGAAGATGTGAAGACAAGGACTTTAATAAACATAAACTAAAAAATTGTTTAGGTTTTTGAAAGTTTATGTAAAAGCACTTGGTGTATTTTTCTTTTTTTCTATATTAATTGTACAAATATGTGGTCTACATTCATGAATACGGTGTTTATTCTTTTACATTATCCACCCATAAAGAGGGGCTTATTAGGTGGAGCACACTGTCACAAGGTCATATTAGAACTTGAAACCCCCTTTAAAATATAAATATAAATATAAATATAAAAAAATTAAAAATTAAATAAAATAAAAATACAAGATATACTACTGTTCAAAAGTTTGGGGTCTTTTATACCAAACTGACCATGAGAGGTCAAAGATGCAAATTATAGGCTTACATTAGAGATGATTAGAGTTCACCCAAAAATTACAATGATGTTATCATTTACCTCATGTCAGTCCAAACATGCATTTTTTTCTTCAGAACAAAAGCAGTCTTTTTGAAGCATGTTGGTAACCAAAAAATGTTGTTCACCATTGACTTCCACATTTCTTAAAATGCCTATTTCATGTTCCAGAGACGACAGAAAGTCACATTTGTTTAAGACGACATGCGGGCAAGTAAATGATTTTCATTGTCACGTGAACTATGCATTTAAAAGTTGTTTGTATTTGTGATTTAGGTGATGTGATGATTTGCTCATAAACAAGCCGAGTCGTACTCCAAATTACATTTTCAATTGGAGCCAAAATCCACTTTCACACCAACTAAATGGACCAAACACTGACTGCAAACAAACGTGAGGGTCTGCAGCAAAAGCTCTGGCATAAAAGCATCCTTAGTGACCAGCCTGACGTAACAAGCATTGTTTAAGCTTCTCACAAACACGCCAACACACCCAACAGCGGCTGAACATGACAGTCCCACACATGCCGCTCGTGTTTTCATTTACCTGTAGCCACGATGACTCCCGGCGCCGAGCTTTTGGTGGAGATGGAGCCTGAGAGGTACGGGTTCTCTGACATCTGCAGTTGTAGGTGCAGCGAGCAAAACGGCTGAGCAGAGAGAAAGTGACACATCCTCCATTAGCCACAACAAAGCTATTATGTAGCCGTCAATCAAAAGGAGCCGACGTGATCCCGCAGGCATGAGAAAGTCTAAGACAATAAGCGCACGAGTGCTGCTGCGTTGGCTATAATGCAGGCGACTTTATGCTTAATATTACACAATTCATAATACAGAAACAACTCCCATAATTCATTGTCATGACCCTGGAGAAACGTGGATAACGCTGGGTGATCTATTGCATACCTTGTGATTAATCGCGATTAATCATTTGACAGCACTTATTCATTTATTTATTAAACAAAACAAAAAACAAAACACAAAACGGAAAAAAAAAACTTTATTCATAATATTACACAATTCATAATACAGAAACAACTCCCATAATTCATTGTCATGACCCTGGAGAAACGTGGATAACGCTGGGTGATCTATTGCATACCGGATACCGTTAATCTTGCCGTCGGAGATCCGCGTGTAAACAAAATAACACAGTTCAGGTAAATCAAGACGATAAATCTACAAAGCAAACTCAGCCAATCAAGTTAAAGGACGATATCAAGGCAACACAAACAGAATTTAGGAAATGATAGCTGTTGTGGGAATAATTCTGTGTTCCGTTTAAATTCAGATGTAGAATGTTCCAACCTGATGTGTCTTATTTAAGACCATAAAGGCCAGACGATACAAAACAAAATGCCAATAGCAATCTTCGCTTAGCAGGTGTTCGACTATGAACAAAGAAGTCATCTGGCAACCAAATTACAGAGAATAAACATTGCTGTGCAATGTTAACATGTTCTATAGGTGCATAATTATCAACATACAGGATCACACCTGTCTCAGCTAACATTTGCAAACATTTTTTTTTTATCACATAATGTAAGAACTATGACTCGTTGATGTATGTTGTTTGCTTATGATGTTTTGTACATCTCCCTGGGTGCTGAAAAGGTACACACTGACTTGAGGGATGAATTTCTGTTTCCAAGTTTCCAAGTTTAAGTGGGATTCTATTACACTTTTCAAAGTAGGAAAGCAGCATAACACTATGGTGTGACGTGACTCGTCAAAACTAAATCGTGCTCATTATGATCAGCTGTCTGCACTGGAAGCAGCCGATGGCACGTCGCGGAAGCTCTATTTCAGTTTTTATCACATGGTACAGCCACTTAATAGTAATAGCAATTGTTCACTCAAAAATGAAAATTTTGTGGAAGTTTATAATAAAATAAAAAACTGTCGGTTAAGCTTTATTTTAAGGTGTCTGTTACAGTGTAATTATACATTTAAGTACTGAGTAATATTAATTAACTACATGCACTTACTTTATGGTTAGGCTTAGAATTAGGGTTTGGCTTAGGGTTACTTGCATGTAATTATGCATCATTTATTACTATTATAATAGTAAGTACATGCAACGTGTAACAAAGACACCTTAAAATAAAGTGTTACCAAATTGTCTACTTTATTTTTCTTTAAATTTATCAAAAGTGACAGGTGACAGTAAAGACTTTTTCAAGTTATCAAAAAAATATAAATAAATAAATAACATAAAATTCCCCCAAAAATATATTTCATCATTGATAATAAATGTTTCTTGAGCAGCAAATCGGCATATTAGAATGATTTACTATTATAATAGTAAGTACATGCAACGTGTAACAAAGACACCTTAAAATAAAGTGTTACCAAATTGTCTACTTTATTTTTCTTGTCAGAATCAGAAATGAACCAAATTAGCTATTTATTGTGTTTTGATTTAAAAGAAACCCTATACTGTCAGTCTAATTATTTTGTTTCTGTAATGTATGTGCAGTTGTAGTTACACTACCATTCAAAATGGGGCCAACTTGCTTGCTTACTTGTTTATATTTATTTATTTTAGTGCTGTCAAATGATTAATCGCATCCAAAATAAAAGTTTTTGTTTACATAATATATGTGTGTGTACTGTGTATATTTGTTATGTATATATAAATACACACACATGCATGTTTATATATTAAATATATTTATTTATAATATAAATTATATGAATATAAACTTCATTCACCGACTGGTCGCAAGGTTGCAAGCTTCTCTGTCTTGGTTCCTCACACTCCGCTCTACCTGTTCTCCTCGGAATCCTCAACTCTCGGCCGGTGTGCCGACCCAGATAAGACTGTGTTTTGCTTCCCTCACTGCCTATGTTGAACTCTTTTTATTTGGAAGCCTCTCCTAAGTTCCTGTTATTAAACCCTTGAATTACGTTAACCTGCCTTTCTGCCTCTTTGTCCTGGGTGTGACAGGTGACCTTAAGAGACTTCTTTTAAAAACATTTAACACATCCTGAATCAAACTTTTGAATGGTAGTGTATATGAGAAATTTATAATACTATTAACACAGAGTCAAATTTATACCATTTCCAAATGAAGTAGGATTTGATTTAATTTTACTGCTGCTGAATTGTAGCCTCAATCTTCCGGCTGATTGGTCTGTGTTAGTAAATACTCAGAAATAACATGTAGCTTCGATGCTTACAAATGTAGACAGCCTCCAGCCATGACTTGTAGAAGTATGTGTCTGGTTTTGTAATAAAGGGTAGGTGTGATGTTTTATTACTGAGTGCAATAGTGGGTATCATGTACTCATTTATCCAACACTAGAAAGATAACAACTTGAAAAGCTCAAATTAATAACAATAACATACTGTATCGACTGCGGTTTCCACCAAAAAGGGGACAAATAATGCAATGTAATCATGTATGGAGTGCCCTCTGTCGAGACCGCTACCCTTACCATGAACGCTAATTGCCTTTTACAGTCATTACCGGCAAAAGACAGGGATCTGACCTTAAAGCAGAGAAGCAACTCTACTGGGACCTCCAACATAACAAAACCAGAATTATATCTGCTCTCCATGCACCACAAATTGTCCTTTTCATCTCCTCAATAGGTGGCTTGACATTATTACATGGACGGCAAAGGCAACAGGATTTCGAGTCGGTAATCATAAGGATTATAGGAGGCTAATGAGAGTGTCAAAGCAGAGGACTATTACAACCTCTTCAGTCTGTCTGTGTGTGTTTCTTTGGCCTTGATGTTTTTCTTTTGCCTCTAAACATGATATGGCTGCTAAATATGAATGATTCTCTGTGCATATCAATACCCTGAAACTATTTCCCATTTACAAATAATAAAAATGTAGTAGATCTAATATCATTTCTGATTATGCATTACAGAGTCTGTTGCCTTTAATCAAATCTGTTGGAGAAAGAATATTACGTTGAAAGAATTAAACAGTTAAGCTAGCCACATGCTAACAAAATAAATATTTACAAAATCGCCTAGAACATTTGGTCTAGATTTATTTTGTATTCCCATAAATAACAAACTGACCCATAAATCAAATCAAATCAAATCAAATCACCAGAGTAATGTTTATTAGTGAGTGAACTATTCCTTTAACTTGCAAAAACTACAAATACTTACAATTATTTTATTTCATTTTATTATAACATAATGCTTGTAAGTGAGTGAACTATTCCTTTATTTATAAAACAACAAAAAACAAACAAACAACCAAATGAAATAAATAAATAAAACAATACAATACAATTATTTTAAGTATTTAGTAATGTTAAGAAGAAAAACAAACAGACCAACTTAAAGGAATAGTTCACTTACTAATAAAACTTGGCATAAAATAAAATAACTGTATATTTTTCAGTAATGACTGACATGAGTAACAACTGACCACGTTAAAGGAACAGTTAAATCACTAATAAAAATTGTTGTAAAATAAAGAGAAAATAATACATTACAAATAAAAAATATTAAAATAAAAAAATAATTATGAATAACAAACTGACCAAGTTAAAAACAAAAACAAAGTATAATACACTGACTAATAAAAAGAAAGAAACAAAACAAAACAAAACAAATATAAAAAAAAAATAAACAAAATAAAATAACATAATTGTAGGTATTTTAGTAATGATTAACATAAATAAACTGACCGAGTTAAAGGAACAGCTCAATTAATGATAAAAAAAAAAGTTGTTATAAAATAAAATACAACAATTGTATATATTTTAGTTATGATTGACGTGAATATCAAACTGACCAAGGTAAAGGAATAGTTCACTCGCTCACCAAACCACTCACCAATTTAAAAAAACAAAACAAAAACAAAAAAAAAATATATAACCTATTGTTAGAAAACACTCTCTGTATTTATTGGTTCCAGATGTTTTCACCCTCCTTTTCTTCCCTCTTCCTCTCTGCTCGCCCTCCCTGTACAGAGCAATGTTGTCTTCTTCTGATTCCCCCCTCCTCCATCTGATCTCTCTCTCTTGCTTTATGTTTTAATATCTCTTACTCATATTCGAGGTACGCATGCGCACATGTATGCATTAGCTTTCTGAGTTCAAATGTTCAGACGAGGATACGATATCTAGGACTCCAAGGTAATAGGGTTCGTACTGAACTATGGCTATAGTTCAGCATCCTTCGCCAAGTTTATTCCTAATATGTCCATATTTTCCTGTACATGTGGCCATTTTATATAACCCATATTCTTGGCCAAAATCCTATATGTATGTCATCTATATCCTTATTGGTTA